CCAGCTGCCAGGAGGCAGCTGGAGGTTTAAATAACCCAGGCCCAAGGTCGCGCCCCTCCCAAATCCCATTCACCGCCCCATGAAGGTGGCGGGTGGGCCCCGGACCTGCCCAGTCCCGGAGGCCTCCCCCCTCGGTCTACTCACCCCGAAGGAAGCGGCCCCCGAAACCCAGCAGGCCCGGGGAGGACGGCTCACCATGTGCCCATGGCGGCCGTCCGGGATCCAGGCATGAGACGCCCCGTCCTGAGACCCACCAGCTGCCAGGAGGCAGCTGGAGGTTTAAATAACCCAGGCCCAAGGTCGCGCCCCTCCCAAATCCCATTCACCGCCCCATGAAGGTGGCGGGTGGGCCCCGGACCTGCCCAGTCCCGGAGGCCTCCCCCCCTCGGTCTACTCACCCCGAAGGAAGCGGCCCCCGAAACCCAGCAGGCCCGGGGAGGACGGCTCACCATGTGCCCATGGCGGCCGTCCGGGATCCAGGCATGAGACGCCCCGTCCTGAGACCCACCAGCTGCCAGGAGGCAGCTGGAGGTTTAAATAACCCAGGCCCAAGGTCGCGCCCCTCCCAAATCCCATTCACCGCCCCATGAAGGTGGCGGGTGGGCCCCGGACCTGCCCAGTCCCGGAGGCCTCCCCCCCTCGGTCTACTCACCCCGAAGGAAGCGGCCCCCGAAACCCAGCAGGCCCGGGGAGGACGGCTCACCATGTGCCCATGGCGGCCGTCCGGGATCCAGGCATGAGACGCCCCGTCCTGAGACCCACCAGCTGCCAGGAGGCAGCTGGAGGTTTAAATAACCCAGGCCCAAGGTCGCGCCCCTCCCAAATCCCATTCACCGCCCCATGAAGGTGGCGGGTGGGCCCCGGACCTGCCCAGTCCCGGAGGCCTCCCCCCCTCGGTCTACTCACCCCGAAGGAAGCGGCCCCCGAAACCCAGCAGGCCCGGGGAGGACGGCTCACCATGTGCCCATGGCGGCCGTCCGGGATCCAGGCATGAGACGCCCCGTCCTGAGACCCACCAGCTGCCAGGAGGCAGCTGGAGGTTTAAATAACCCAGGCCCAAGGTCGCGCCCCTCCCAAATCCCATTCACCGCCCCATGAAGGTGGCGGGTGGGCCCCGGACCTGCCCAGTCCCGGAGGCCTCCCCCCCTCGGTCTACTCACCCCGAAGGAAGCGGCCCCCGAAACCCAGCAGGCCCGGGGAGGACGGCTCACCATGTGCCCATGGCGGCCGTCCGGGATCCAGGCATGAGACGCCCCGTCCTGAGACCCACCGACTTGATAGTTTTTATCTCAGACTGCTTGCTATCCTTGTCCAATCTCCTGTCAGAAGGCTTCATAGAACTATAAAGGAACATTGAGCGTTTGCCACACATAAATAGTATTATTCCAGCCATAAAGATAAGAGCAAGCTAGGAACGCCAAGACCACTAGAGATGCAGCCGAGTCCAGGAGGCATCCTTCCTTGAAGCTTACGCCTCGGCCCGGCGATTTCTCACGCAGGCTTCTACCGGAGGTGGCGTGACAGCCAGGGGAGCAGGGAAGGCTGGTGGGCAGTGCCACCTCACCTTGGCTGATGGCTGAGGGCTCCCGATGGCGCTCCAGCAAGTCCTTGGTGTCCGTGCTTCTAGAGGTCAAGGTGGAGTTCTCATAGGGGGTCCTTGGCTCCTGCGTGGGATCCTGTGGCAGAAGAGGCTGTGTGGACCAAACTCCAGGCAGCATCCCGCAGGTGTCTGGGGGCGGAGGTTGGGCGGGTGGGGAGGCAGATGGAGCAGGACCCAGTTTGTGCTCGCCCCAACTCTTCCAGGCCCAACACACCCCCTCCCTACCTCCCCACTGAAGGGTTCTGCCTCCCCAGCTGCCCAGAAAGGAAAGGGGAGGAAGTGAGGCAACAGGCCGGCCACGGCTGCCCCACACTCACCCGTGGTAAGCCAAGGAATAACTAGATTGAAATGAGAAATCTCAGACTTTCTGAGCGCGTGCACAAAGTGACTTTGATTTGGGTTTCAGATACGTGGCTAATGACTTCAAGACAATTTTAGGGACGTCCCCGAGGCCTGGAAAGGATTATTTTGGGATCCCTCGGGGATGGCCAAATCCCGTCTCCCCAAGAAAGATCAATTGAACAAGGATTCGGGGCCAAATCGTGTATCAGCCCTTACAAAAGCTGCCAGCCGTTGAATTAGAGCGTCGATTGCTCAGGTAACAGATGAAGGATTGGACCAACGGGGCCAGCTCCACTTTGATGCACAGGTAGAGAGAGCGGGGCCACCTGCCCAGCACCCACCTGTCGTGACGTCACAGTCCGGACAGGTATCCTACATGCCCCCCACACCCCCCCACAAATCAGCGATTGGCTAGGGGGTGAGCGTGTGATCCAAGCCCGGCCAATCAGAGTATTAAGACTTGGCACAGGGGGTCTGGCGTGATGGCCTGGTGGCTAAGGTCCTTGCTTGGCACCCCTGGGAATCCCATATGGACACTGGTTCTAATCCAGGTGGCTCCACTTCCCATCCAGCTCCCTGCTTGTGGCCTGGGAAAGCAGTGGAGGACGGCCCAAAGCCTTGGGACCTTGCACCCGATGTGGGAGACCCAGAAGAAGCTCCTGGCTCCTGGCTTTGGATTGGCATAGCATCAGCCGTTGCGCTCACTTGGGGAGTGAATCATCGGACGGAAGCTCTTCCTCTCGGTCCCTCCTCTTCTCTGTATATCTGACTTTGCGATAAAAACAAAAATTAATCTTAAAAAAAAAAAAAAGATTTGGCACAGTGGCAAGCTTATGAACCGGCCTCAGCCAACGTGACTGTTCTGGGACTTTGGGTAAGCAAGAGGGAAAAAAGGGAATTTTCTCTTTCCGTGATGGGGCTTCCAGAATTGAAAGATGCAAGCCTGGAGCTGCCACAGGGAAGGACTTCTTACCGAGAGCGAAGCCAAGCGCTGAGGAAAGCGGAGCTGAGGGACAAGTCTGGGGCCTGGAGACACCTGGATACAGCCACACCTGAACCCATGTCTGTAGCTGCTGCTCTGGTCCCACGCCTCTCAGTTACACAGACTGGAGCTTCCTTCCCTTTCTTCTTCTTCTCTTTTTTTAAGATTAATTTTTATTGGAAAGGCCAATTGACAGAGAGAGAGAGAGATCTTCCATCCGTTGATTCACTCCCCAAGGAATGCAATGCCTGCAGCTAAGCCGATCCGTAGCCAGGAGCATCTTCAGGGTCTCCCACACAGGTGCAGGGTCCCAAGGCTTTGGGCCATCCTCCACTGCTTTCCCAGGCCACAGGCAGGGAGCTGGATGGGAAGCGGAGCTGCCGGGATTAGAACCGGTGTCCATATGAGATCCCAGCGCGTGCAAGATGAGGATTTAGCCATTGTGCCATCGCACCAGGCTCTGGATCTAGGACCTAAACCTCACATGGGGTGTGTGTAGGGGGGTGTAGGTGTCACAGGCCCACGCCAGGAGCCAGGAGCCAGGAGCCAGGAGCCAGGAGCTCCAGCTGGTTCTCCCTTACAGGTTCAGGTCCCAAGCACTTGGCTTCTGCTTTGCTAGCTTTCCCAGGCACATTAACAGGAAGCAGAACAGCCAGCCAACCAGCCAGGACTGCAAGCGGCACTCAGGTATGGCGATGTGGGCATTGCCAGCGGCTGGTTGGCCCGTGCCCTGGCTTCGCTTCTGACTCAGTGCCCTGCCCCGCACATACCCACCCTGAGTGACCGTGGTGGCATCAGAACGGAGGGGGATTCCTAGGTGGAAGTCCCAGTGAGCTCCTAGATCTGGGTTCCGACTCAGTCCCTGGGTGACATGTGGGTCGGACCCCCTCCCCGGGTGGGCTGTGCCTCTGCAGGCTGCATGTCTGATTCCATGCTTAGGATGCTCATGGAACACGGCGGAGCTCTGACCCCCTACATGGAGGACTGGAGCAGGGAACACAAACTCTCCCAAGAAATCGGGTGGGTGGTCCAAGCTGGAATGGAGGAGGAGGGCAGGGTCCTGATGCTGGAAGCACAAGGGGTCTGTCCAGGGCCTGTAGTCATGCCTATGGCCTCGGGTTTGTTATTCCTTGATTTGGCAATGCTTTTCTGTGACCCTGTGTGGTTCTGAGCCTCTGGTTTAGTATCAAAGGTAGTGTGCCCTGTGTGGGTGCCCCCGCCACGGGTGTACCTGGGAGACATCCGTGTGACCGTGGTATCCAGCTGTGCCCTGTGTGCGTGCCCCTGCCGTGTGTGCACCTGGAGGGATTCTGTGTGACCGTGGTATCCAGCTGCGCCCTGTGTGTGTGTGCATCTGGAGGGCATCTGTGTGACCGTGGTATCCAGCTGTGCCCTGTCTGTGTGCACCTGAATGCCTGCTGTATGCTGTTCTGGAAACCCTGGGGCGATGAGAAACCAGCAGGTCTGTCTGTGGATGTGCCCTGGGCACTGTGGGATGGGAACAATGCAAAACTTCACCTGCAGGTGCCAGGACATAAACCTGACACGTGTCTCCTCCGAAGCGTGGACCTGTGCCTTGAAAAGGGTCAGGGGGACCCTCCTTGCAGGTGATGAGCAAGGGATTAGGGAACTCAGAAGCCCACCTTGACTCCCACCCCGGGAGCTGCTGGGAGCTTGGGACCCTCCCAGGAGTGCCCTGCCCACTACCCAGGGGGACCCAGGACCCAGCCTGACGTGGAGGGAACCAACAGAGAGAGAGATACTTTACGGGAAGCCCTGACACCTGAGGGTGACTCAAGGTGGCCTGGTGGGGACACTCATGTCACCACCTAGATGCTTGGGATAGATGCAAGGAAGGGGGCTTGTCCTGGAAGGGAGGGAGGGAGAGGAGGCGTCTCAGAAGACACAAGAGCCCCTCATCATTGCACCTGCTAGCCTGGCAGAGAGCACGCGGACCCCACACCCACCCCAAGTAACCGCCCAGGACTCACATCACCACCACCAGCACCAATGCCATCATTCTTCCTGGTTTATTCCCAGCCCCTCACCCCACCCCACCCCACCCCCAGCATGGTGGGTGCATGTGCTAGCTCAGGCGTTGGTCTTCATGGTGCACTTGAGGCGGCAGCAGCGCGAAGCGGTCCAGTCCATGCCCTTGCACTGGCAGTGGCACGTCTTCTCGGAACGCACATCCCATGACCCGCAGCCGAAGCCACAGGCGCAGCCGGTGACGGCAAAGCCTGTGGCAGAGGGAAGCAGGGATGCGAGGGAGGAGCCTCCCCAGCTCCAGGGGCAGAGAGCGGAGAGGAGGGGAGTAGGGATGAAGAGGGGGAGTTGGCAGACGCTGGAGGAAGTGGAGTCCCTGAGCGAGGGAGGCGGGGCACAAGCTGGGGCTCAGGGCTGGATCCTTAGGGACCCCCCCCCCCCGAGGCTGGGACGTCACCAAAAATGAGATGTGAGAGGTGGCATTCCCAGGGGACAGAGGACAGGTGCACTCACCTGGGGGGCAGTTGGCCAGGCTGCCGCCGGCCTTGACGGTGCGACAGTCCAGCTCCAGGCGCAGGCAACTGCCAGTAACTGAAGGAAGAGTTGGAGACCAAGGTCTACCTCCCCCACTCTCCCGGTACGCATCCCCTGGGGGAAATCGGGGGACAGGGACTGAGGAGCCAAGCCATCCTGACCCAGGTATCCCCTGCCTTGACTTGAATACTTAGGACTAAGCAAGGTTTGGGGCGTGACCACCGGGCTTGCGTTGGGAACTGCGGGCTGAAGGTAGGATGGAAGGGCAGGTGCTGTGACATAACCAGATCAAAATACAGCCTGCGGAGCCAACAAGCCACATGGGCACTGAGTCGAGCCCTGGCTGCTCTGGCTCTGCTTCCCATCCAGCTCCCTGCCCTGGCACCTTGGGAAAGCAGTGGAGGACGGCTCAAGTGCCAAATACATGAGAGACTTGGGCTCAGCCCTGGCTTCTGCAGTCAGAGAGCGAACCATCTGATGGAAGATTCTTTCTCGCGTTCTCTCTCTCTCTAACTCTGCCATGCAAATAAATATATATATATTTTAAAGAGAGTGGCTGGGAAGTTAAATTTGGGCTGTGCTGGGGCCTGGGAGGGGCCAGGGGTCAGAAGAAGAAGGCGGAATGTGGGGGTGCTCACGCAAGGAGCTGCTGATGCTCAGGAGTTTCTCATTGATGGCTTCATCCACAGGACACAGGGTGTTGCCACACGCCAGCTTTGCCAGGACCGGGAGGAAGAGGAGGAGGAGGAAGTTGAGAACCTTCATCCTGCAAGAGAGAATTCAGAACACACAGCCCCATCGGAGTGAGCCCCTTATCCATCTGGGGGTGCAGGGGCTGCAGCAATGGGTAAGGGAGATAAGGGCTTACCTTGCCCTTGTACCTGATGGTCCAATAGGGGCCTCAGGTTGCCGTTGGCCCCTATTTAACTTTGAAGTCTAAGGGTGTGGGGTTTCCTGTCTTGACCAATGGTTTCCTTGGCCCCTGGCACTCCTTCCCCACATCCGGAGCCAAGAGGAAGCCCCTATAGGAGGGGGGTGCCCTCCTGGCTTCTCTTATCTCCCCAACCCCACCACCACAATCCCCTCCCTGCAAGTGCCCTCAGAGAGTACCAAGACCACCACCACAGGGCCGGGGGTCCGTGCAGCGGGTGTGGAGGGCGTGAAGGTGTGTGGAGAACTGTTCCCTTGCTGGCAAAGCCGCGAGGAGGCACCCTCCCAGCCCCCCCGCCAACTGCAAGGCAAAGCAAGGCGGTTCCACCTCCTTTGGCATGGACCCCCCCGACCACTCCCACCACCCCCGACCACCCCGCTGGAATTTCTGTAATCTTATTGAGGCACTGTTTGCCACTGCGGACTTGACTTTTACTATCAACGTGAGTCTGGAAGTGGATATCGCTAAAAGGCAACGGAGGATGACTCGTGGCAAAAGGGCATTTTACAATTCATGCTGTCTCTGCTGGCCCCTGTAGACCCTACGGCTGGGAGAGCTACGAATATTTGTACTAACATTGTAAAACTTGCTAACGTAGGGTATTTAGTCCATGGGTGTAGCTCCCTACTTGTGGCCTGGGAAAGCAGTGGAGGATGGCCCAAAGCCTTGGGACCCTGCACCCGCGTGGGAGTCCCGGAAGAGGCTCCTGGCTTCGGATTGACTCAGCTCCAGCCGTTGTGGCCGCCTGGGGAGTGAATCATCGGACGGAAGATCTTCCTCTCTGTCTCTCCTCCTCTCTATATATCCGCCTTTCCAATAAGATGAAATAAAACAAAATCAATCTTTCAAAAACACCAAAGACTAAGTCGTAGCATGAGGATTGTAGCAGGAATGTGGACCTGATTGATATGCGCCATCTATTGAGAACTTGGGGACCGCAGGGTGGAGAACATCCTGCTTTGGGCAGAATTATCCTTGGCAAAACCCACTGGACCATGATGTTCAAAGTCTGTGCCAGGGCTTGTGGCTGCTCCTGTATAAACAAAGTGGACATCTTTCTTGCATGGTCCATTATGATCCTCAAATCGATGTGGTCCATCTCTTTTCTCTCCACACCTACTCCATGCACCCTTCTCGAGTTCCGAACTCGTCCGGAACCCGACTCCGGCACCGCAAGTGCCAGGGCAGGTGCAGGAAAGGGCGTTCCCACGCAGGAAGCAGAGGGCACTGCGAAGGTGCCCCCTTGGGAGAGGCTCGCATGCCGCCCGTGTGCCCACGTGCCATGGAAAAATCGAGCTTGACTCCTGTTTAATCAAGCTTTGTTTTTTTTTTTTTTTAAGATTTATTTATTTATTGGAAAGGCAGATCTACAGAGAGGAGGAGAGACAGAGAGGAAGATCTTCCGTCCGATGATTCACTCCCCAAGTGAGCGCAACGGCCAGAGCTGAGCCAATCTGAAGCCAGGAGCCAGGAGCTTCTTCCGGGTCTCCCCATGCGGGTGCAGGGTCCCAAGGCTTCGGGCCATCCTCCACTGCTTTCCCAGGCCACAAGCAGGGAGCTGGATGGGAAGCAGGGCTGCCGGGATTAGAGCCAGTGCATTCAAGACAAGAACTTTAACTACTAGGCTATTGCGCTGGGCCCTGCCATTCCTTTTTAAAGGCTTAATACTATCCCACCGTGTGGTTTGGGCTATCCTGATTCCGTGCCAACTTTCTGACTTGGTTGTATGGAGACCCCCAGGACGATCAGTGTGTGAGGAGGAAGGGCTGGCCAAGCAGGCGTGGTGGCCTGGGTGGCGGGGGGCGGAGGGGGCGGGAACGGGGCTGGAGTTGCGTGTCCTCAGGTCTCGGCAACGGGGCCGAGTGGGTCAAGTTAGAGGAACTCGACGTGCGTGAGAGGAGGAAGTCGTGGGGTGCGGGGAAGGGGTCGTACCTCCCCGACACGGGCTGGGTGTGACAGAGCCCCAACAGTTCTGCTGTGAGAACCTTAGCTCGGGAGGCGCTTGGGTAAGAACTTTGGGGAGACACCGAAGTGGGCGGCTCTGACTATGGGGGAGACAACACAGTGTGTGTGCAACTCCTGGGGTTTTGCAAACCTTTCCTGCAATAAAGGAAAGGGCTCTACTGCCCAGAGTTCCCTCTTAGAAAATACTAGAAAGCTAGCGTGAGAGCGAGAAAGAGAGAGAGCCTCCATTCATTGATTTTTTAATAATTAAGCCAGGACCAATTTTTTTTTTAAGATTTATTTTATTTTTATTGCAAAGGCAGATACACAGAGAGGAGGAGAGACAGAGAGGAAGATCTTCCATTTAATGATTCACTCCCCAAGTGAGCGCAACAGCCAGAGCTGAGCCAATCTGAAGCCAGGAGCCAGGAGTCCCTTCCGGGTCTCCCCACGCAGGTGCAGGTTCCCAAAGCTTTGGGCCGTCCTCCACTGCTTTCCCAGGCCACAGGCAGAGAGCTGGGTGGGAAGTGGAGCTGCCGGGATTAGAACCAGTGCCCATATGGGATTCTGATGCTTGAAGGTGTTGGATTAGCCTTTTGAGCCATGGTGTTGGCCCTACGTTTATTATTATTATTATTATTATTATTATTTAGTGACAGGAGCGAGTGTTCAGAGCCTGCAGGCCGTTCCATGTTAGAGCCCCTGGGTGTGATTCCAGCTTTGGTAGCTGACTTAAGTTTCCCATCAGTCCCAGCCCAGGGAGACAGCTGCGTGACCAGGACTGGGGCAGGGTGGCTGGACAGAACGGCACCCGCCAGCATGTGCGTGGGCTGGATAGTGGGTCTGGTTGGGTTGAACTAGGCTTCAATGCCCATTGACACGTATGAGAGCTCAATGGGATGTGGGACAGACTGGACTAGACTGCTGCACACACTGGCAAGCACGGGAACCAGGGCAGGGGGCGGGCATGGTGGGGCTTATGGGGAGTCGCCCCAACCAGGCTGCAGCTCCCACTGGTTTGCGTGAGGGCTGAGTGTGTGCTGGGCAGAATCAGGCTGGACTGCAACACACCCATGGGTTCGTGTGGAAGACAGGGCTGCAAACAGAACTGACCCAGCAATTGCAACCACCAGTTGATCAGGGCGAGGGACTGTGCCAGACCCTGTACTGGCAAGCACACTCAAGAATCAGGTCTGGGATCTCCTCAGACGAAGTTTCTTTGGGGATCCCTCCAACTGAACTGCTGATCTCAGAACCCCAACCATGCAGAGACTATGTCAGCCAGTGGATTCAGAAGAGATTTCATCGGGCCTGGCACGATAGCGTAGTGGTTAAGGTCCTTGCTTTGCACACCCGGGATCTCATAGGGGCACCGGTTCTAATCCCGGCAGCCCCGCTTCCCTTCCAGCTCCCTGCTTGTGGCCTGGGAAAGCAGTGGAGGACGGCCCAAAGCCTTGGGACCCTGCACCCGCGTGGGAGACCCGGAAGAAGCTCCTGGCTTCAGATCGGCATAGCATCAGCTGTTGCGCTCACTTGGGGAGTGAATCATTAAATGGAAGATCTTCCTCTCTGTCTCTCCTCCTCTCTGTATATCTGACTTTCCAATAAAATAATCTTTAAAAAACAAAATAAATCTAAAAACAATGCATAAGGAAGGAGAAAAGGGCCTCGGCGTTGGCATCTGTGCAATGGGAGTGTTGTCAGTGACCACCCCATGCAGGGCCGTGGTGAGCTCAAGTGAATGCTTCGTGTGACTCAGCTTTGGACTCAGAGGACACGGTCCGACGGCTTCATCAACATCCCCCTGCCACCATTATCCTTCTAGAACTTTCCGAGCCACCAAATGCAAGGCCGTCTGAGAACGGAGCCGTCCCTCAGCCCTGGAGATGACCCCCCTTCAACCCCTCCCCGTCTACCGAGCTCTTCGCCCTCCCAGGGCCCTTGCCTCACTTTTTTTTCACAAGGTTTCTGACGGTTCTGTTGACTAACTTGAGGTTTTTGAGCAATTGGGCAGACGGGGCGGGGAGCACTTGCTCCCATCCCTGGTCTCTCGACCTTGGCCTCCCGACCTTGGCCGTCTGGGTCACCCACTTCCTCCTCCTGCTTGGGGGTGCCCATTCCTGGACCTCCAAGGCCTCTGCATCCCTTCCTTGGTAACCATGGTTTCCTGTGGCTGCCGGTTCCAGGGTTTCCCCTCGCATCACATCACCATGCCTCCTGGACCAACCAGCTCCTCCAAGTCCACCTGGACCTTGCTTTTTGTTTTTGGTTTGTTTGTTTTGGTGGTTGGGGGGGAGGGTGTCCAGTGCTTGGCTCAACTGGCTAATCCTCTACCTCTAAGTGCCAGGATCCCATATGGGCGCCGGTTCTAATCCCGGTTGCTCCACTTCCCATCCGGCTCCCTGCTTGTGGTCTGGGAAAACAGCAGAGGAGGACGGCCCAAAGCCTTGGGACCCTGCACCCGCGTGTGGGAGACCCGGAAGAAGCTCCCGGCTCCTGGCTTCAGATGGGCTCAGCTTGGGTGGTTGCGGCCACTTGGGGAGTGAATCAGCAGATGGAAGATCTTTGTCTCTCCTCCTCTCTGTATATCTGCTTTTCCAATGAAAATGATAACCATAAATCATTCCTTTTTTGCATCTGGGGATGCTGCCACTGTAACCCCTGCTGATGAGGTTGTTACAGTCAGGAGGTGAATGTTAGAGACAAGTTGGGGGTGGGACGGGGGGAAAAAAAGACAAAAGCAAAGCAGGCTGGGGTCTCTAGGAGGGGGTGCACCTGGGGTACCATGGGGAAGTAAACAGTTCACCCCAGTCGGTGCCCAGCAGGCGTGGCGAGAAGGGACTGGTGGATGGGGGTCTTATTCTGGAAGGGAGGAGGGCAGCCAGGTTCTGAGAGGCTCAGGCGCTGCCACTGTGCCACCATCACC